GGAGGGGGGTTAACAGTAATATGGTGGTAGAGTACTTCAACCATTGGAAGAAGACCAGAAACTAATCTTTCCTATCATGTTCTTGTGAGAATAAGGATTTGAAGGGCACAGATTAGTTAGGTTGATGCTGTAGTTTACATATTAGCATTTACAATATATCAATTTTTACAAAGACAGTTTTTATTAATTATATTCAATTACCTGAGACTGATATGACTGGCTGAATTCAGATTTGAAATAAGGTGGTATTATTTTGTTCCTGATTTCCATTAAATAATTTTGTGTTTCCTCAGTTTCTTTCCTGGTTGATGTTTCCATAATGATGCAAAAAAAAAAAAGAACATTTGAAAAGTTTATTTGCTTGCACTTTTAGCTCTAAATTCCACAGAAAATCAGTGCAATCACTGACAGGAAAAACGATAAGAATTAGCTCATTGGGCATTTTTTTTTTTTTTGGTCCACTTGTTTTGGTTTATTTTCTGCTTCTTCTGCAGTTAGTCACACTTTCTGCTTTGGGAATCAAACTCTCATATAAGATAGGGAATAATGATACCAGATGTTAGTTTGACTTCACAGTTGATCTCAAATGGCTGAAACCCATGTAGTCCTATGATGGTTGAACTTTTGTGGGTTCTCTGAAATTTAAAGACAGCTAGAATCTACTGGTTCTCATAATTTTAGCAGTGGTAATAAAGAAACCAAACCAAACCTGAGGGATGGTTTAAGAATAATGTGGTGAGCAGTTACAAAGTTAAGTAAAAGCAATCAGGATAATTCTGCTAGTTGCCTTTTCGACACCAGAATCCCTCTAGTGGGGAGGCAGTACCTTGGGAAGACTGGTGAGATGTAGATGATCACTGAGCAAGTCTTATGATCCCCATTTTACAGGTCAGAAAATAAAGGTGTAGAGAGGCTCAGTTATCTATTCCAAACCATGTAACTAAGAAAGGGCGGCATCTGAATTAAAACAGGGTTGTTTGTCTCGGAGCCCAGATCTTCGCACTGCAGGTACTCGCTGGCTGTCAGTCACCCAGGGACTGAAAGGAACTTTAGATCTTTGGCAGTGTATCCATGCTCATAGTTTACAGATAAGCAAACTGAATTCCTGAGAAAGTTTTACTGATGTGACACAACCATCCAGCATCATACCGACTGTAAGTAATCAAACTGTAACTGACTCCAGATACACTGACGCTAAGGCCAGTGCTCTTCTACAAGACAGCATCCCTGGGAACACTGGGCAGGTATGATTGACATATCATCTTATTTAAAGAACTTTATATTACCATTAAAAGTGGTTTAGCTCTCTGATCTCACTGGATCTGGCTATTGCTTACCACTGTCTTAAAGCCGTGCTCACAAAAGAAGCAATAAACTCCCACTGGGATAAACCCAAGTTTCTTTTTTAATTTGCACTTTTTTATTCTTCTTCAATTTGCATCTGATATTTGCTGACCACCTCCCATTTCCTTGAAACTTTCTCCTTCCTACACTCAATTATTTCCATGTTGCCCACACTTTTTCATTCCATGATGCTTCTTCAACTGCATGTTTGCTTTCACTGGCTTGCCACTGCTCACAAATTAAGCTTGAATGTTAAAATGTTTCAAAATTTAAAGAAATGAGAAAACACATGATTATGTACATAATTCAAAAGGCATCAAATAGTATGTAATAAAGAGGAACTCTCCATTTCACACTACCTCCTGACCTCCAGTCTCTTTCCCCACAGGCAGTCACTGCACCAATCTTTTCAATATAGTTTCAAGGTCATAAAACCTGGATTTTCTGACCTTTCTTTGAAGCAGACCACCAGGCTCCTTGTGCCCATAGGCCATACCTAGGCCTCTTCATTCCTATGTCCCCTCTGAAGACAGAGACATAGAAATGAAGAGGCCTAGATAAGTTTTTCCCAGTTTGTTTCCATCAGCTCATACAGTTGGTCCCACCATACATGCCCAGGGCCCTCCATTCTTCATCAATACTAGCAAGCAAATACATAGGTTGAACCTTTTCTTTGGGGTCTTCATTTCCTTATGAACGTCCCATGTCATATAAAACTGAAATTTTGCATGCTTTTCTCTGATAAATCTGTCTTTTGTTATAGGGACCTGAGCCATGGACCTAGGATGGGTAGAGCGAAAGACAGTTTTCCTCTATGATACACATGTATGTATACCTTCTAGCTGGACCTTATCCCTGGGTGTGAGCCAGGAGATTTGAAATCTTGTCATTTCCCCAACACAGTGACATTTTAATGAAGGAGCACATTCATCTTAGGAGTCATTATGAAGAGAAACCTTGCAAGTGTGTCCAATACTGCCACATGTGCTACCCTTATGGCAAGAGATCTGGAGTGGAAATCCTAAGCTGAAATGCAAAGGAAATCAGACCCTATAATGCTTATAGAACATGCCTTGGGTAAATGACAGGGACCCTTGAATGTTGGTGACCATGTTCTGCATGGAGTCCCACAATATTTACAAGTGTATTAGAACTGATGAATGCACGGAGTGCCTTGAGAGCTTTCTAGCTCAGGAGAGGAGGTTCTGAATGGCCACGTGGGCTTCCTCAGAGAGTGTGGCATCACTACATGGAAGCTGAATGCCACCACGGCAGAAATGTTGTAGAAAAGGAGTCAAACAACAGCTGGAGACCTGGCCAGTAGGACCTTGTTGCCTCTCCAACTCTAGGATTCTGTGACCCTGGCCTTTTTTTTTCACATGTTTGTTTAGACTGCAAGGAAGAATTACCTTTTTTGTGCTATCTTTTCTTTCCAGCGTTTTTCTGATTCTGTGTTCCTATGTGAAATGAAGAAAAAAAGTATAATTGTTGGGTGTGTGGGAGACTCCCCTTTCTTGTGAGAACATTATGGAATCCCTTACCCTTCCCCCTCCTCTCCGAAGGACACCAAGCTGAAGAGCACCCAATTCAAAGGTTTTCTCGACTAGTCCCCCCTGGACACAGTGTCTGATCACTGTTCCTGAGTCACCCTGCCAATCAGCACCTGCCATGTCACCTATACATCCTTTCTTAGGCCCAAGCTTGTGAGCTCTCGCTCTCTGCCCTCTTCCTCTCTTCCTCTCTTCTTCTCTGCCCTCTTTTTCTTCTTTCTCTCCTCTTTCTGCTCTCTGCCTCTACTTTCCTTTGGGCAGCCCCCCAATAAAATCTCTTGGTTGAATCTCCGTCTCAGGTGCATCACTCACCTTTCAATAATGACAAGGGATTTATACAGCTTACAAACAATAAAAGAAGAACCAGCACTGAATGAAGAGTTAACACCGGGGCCGACAAAGGGCTGTGATTCATCAACATGTTCACCCATGGCTGTGGCCCTTGTCTTTCCATTTCCTCAATCACTGCATGCCTAACACTGATTAGAAAATATTATTAGCTTACCTCCATTTCTTTCCAAATAAATCTTTACCAAATGTATCCGGTGGACATTTTACAGTAGAAGCCAACGATTGCTTGAATAAATCAGTTAGATGGGCTGCAACTTTAAAAATACATGCATTGAACATTTATGCCTACTTCTCCATAGTACAACACACAATCAGTAGCCAGTTACTAATTTGAGATGTTTTAAAGAAACTATCAAGGATTTGCCAAAATTTCCTTGACCAAACTGTGACATAACAGTAAACCAGACTACTTCATTGAAGGGTTGTGGTAACGAACACTCATCTTTTAGTCAAAATGTTAAATGCAGTGATACCTCGTTTTTTTTTTTTCCATATCATTAGGGAATCTGTGTTCCACTCAACTGAATTCGTTTGTCTAAAATGGCAAACCTGAAAACAAATTAGTCATCATACTGAACTATTTTTCTAAACATGGAACTGCTCCCTGAATATAAGGACCTAAATATAATACAATGGTTGTTGAGTAATTTGGGGAGTGATTGTTTTGAGTTTATTCATGTAACACGGTCCTGGGGGGATGTCCACAGGAGAATTTTAAAAAAGTTGCCATGCTCCATGATTCTCTGAGTTTAGGAAAAACTGACTTATGCAAGGCTAAATATGTTTTGTAAGATTTTTCCTCATCCTTAATTAGTTAATGTACATTGTGACTTTCCAAGAAACTAAGATAATATACAACATTATCCAAATTGATTTTATCATAAAACTCATTTTTAGTGGAGCCACCACATAGACTAGCTTTTAGGAATTACCCCAAGTATGCAGGAAACTGTTTTCCTGTTGGATAAGTTCAAAAAATATATTTAGTTTGCCCCTTGTTATTGGGTGAGTTGTGTGTTTCCTTTTATTTTGCCTGTTCACTTGTTATAAGTGAGGGTTATAAGTTTGAATGACTGAGGGTAAGTCTGTCAGATAAAGTATAGGGCACCTCATTAAATCTGAATTTCAGATAAATGAAAAAATTTTTTAGTTTAAGTATGTCTCAGGCTATATCAGGGACATACTTATACTAAAAAAAATTAACTATTATTTATCTAAAATTTAGTTTTAGTTAGGTCTTTTGTATTTGTATTCACTAAATCTTATAACTACACTACAGGGTCATCCAGTAAAAAAGTGATGATAAAGTGTAAGGACACAGAGTATTAGGGGAAGTTTGTTCCATGGTCTGGGATTCAAGCAGTGAGAATACTGCTTGTCAGTGAGGGAGGTGCTTGTGTTCTCCTGGGGCACCAAAAGTTCAAAGCACAGAGACTCCAATGCTGAGCTCACCTCAGTGAAGTAGCAGCACACCTTGCTCCACACACAAACTAAGCAAATTTGTTGGAGTTTGTGTGTAATACACTTTAAATGGGAAGGTCTTCTAAGAGTAAACTGTTCCTGTGTAGACTAGTACAAGGTTTTGGTAATAATTGTATAGTTATTCAAAAATTCTGTGTACAGGTATGGGGGTGAGTAGTGGTTGCTGATTGTTTCCTTCCTATAATATCTTAGTTATGTTCTAAATAGTTGCGTTTAACATAAAAGTCAAACAAATGTCAATGTGTTTCACTCAATAGGTGAAAATTACAGATGAATTAGAAGCAATTATGGTTTTCAAAGAGCTCTTAATTCGAGCAGAATAAAACATAACACACAAAAACCATTACAACACAATATGGCCAATGCGGGAACGTAGGTGAATGTATGTGGGACTTTGCTATCAAATGAAAGAATAACTAATAACTGTATTTAAGGTTATTCATCTGAAATTGGTAAATATATCACAGAAAAATATTAAATACCAAGTTACCTTCATCAGCATTACTTTTTGTAGTTTCCTCAATTTTAGGGAAAGACTGAAATGAAGACAGAATTACTTGATGATGATTGTATTACATACAAAATTCACTTTGTTTAGAAGCATTATTTTTGAGCTCAGATTGATTAGTTATAGAAATCACTATAAAATAATTTTTAATACAAATATAAAATTTGATTTTTGGGTCATTTACATAAACAAATTTATGAAAATAGAAATCATTTTTTAATTTACATAAATTATTTTTTTATTAATCCTTCAGGTTTCATTTATTACTTCAGTCAGTGTTTCAATTAATATCTTCAGAGATGTTGATTAGGAAGAACCCAAAATGTATTGGGAAAAATCAACAGATAAAGAATAAGATTTCCACAGAAATAAGGAACTACAAGGAGGAAGGCAAATGCTTTACAGAAGTGGTAGAAACAGTACACAGCAATTCCTCATGATGTTTGTCTGGAAGGATCTAATACTGAAAAAGTAATAAAAACATTGGTCTATAAAACATTTTCTCACCATAACTAGCTTGAGGAGATCTGCAGCATTGCCCCTCTCCTCCTCAGTTCTGGAATCCTTGACCGTCATTTCCTGTAGCTCATCTTCTTTCTTTAGAATGTGGTTTATGTAGTCCTAAATCAGGAGAATAAAATAAATAGATAAAAATAAGGAATAGGGTAGAGAGAGATACCAACATGGTCAACATCTGCTCCAAATATTACAAAAAGATTAACCGTAGATAAATTCACAATGCTTAACAAGCAGTTACTAGTCAAGCAATCCGAAAAGCCTTTTTTTTTTTAGTAGTTTAATAAGCAAAGACCTACAAGGACCAAGAGAAAAACTTTAAGGATAGGGTAGAACTGCATGGTGAGCTCAGAGACGTCCTCTTTTTATCTCTGTGATTTAGAGCAGATGGGAAGATTTTCAGGTAAAATCTTTAAGAATCTATCTATAAATGTAAGTTGCTTTGCTCATGCTTTTGCTTCCAAGGGAAGTATAATTTACTTTTTCTGTGAATATTTGATCCATTTCTGCAAATAATGATCCTCCGCCCCATTGCTGGTGCTGGGCATATAGCCATAAACAAAACACATATGATCTCTGTTCTGAGGGAGTTAAGCTATAAAGTCAGATGTTAAGGATATGATCATACAATTAATTATATATTTACAAATTCTTAGACCACCTTCAAAGCAACAGTACTTTCCATCCATGGACAAGTACCGGATTAACAGGTGGCTCTTTTTTCCCCCCAGATGTTGCTAGACTAGTTTTCTGTACAGTAAGAGGAGTCTATGTAGCAATCACCTATGAAAGTTTCTTATCTTTTCAGTGTCTTTGGGGCCTCTCTTAATGATTCCTCCACCTTAGGGGAATCACTAAGTATCTGCCTCTCAAACTTCTACTCAGAAGATTGACATTCCATTGCACTAAATAAATATTGGTAGAATTAGGTAATTTCAGGTTCCTCAGGAAGCCAAGAGGAATGATTACCTTGTTCCTAATTCTTTTTTGGGTCAAATTACCTGGATTATATTACCTTAAGGGAAATCTGCAGCCTCAATTTCACTTCATCCTTTATAACCTCATGCTGGATGAACTGGCGTATCTGAAGTACATCAGGGACCTTGAGAACAGGTGCTGGGGCACTCATTAGCTGTTGAGACCCAATGCAAAGCCCCTTCCAAATGCGAGTGCCAAAGGGAGGTCCTGGAGTTTTTTTCTGTGAACAAAACAAAGATTCACCAAAGAGATCAGAATATTTTCACAATAGTTTATATATAGCTGTAGATGGGTACAATACTTTTTTTTATTCATTTTTTATTCATTTATTTTTATGTGGTGCTGAGGATTGAACCCAGTGCCTCACATGTGCTAGCAGGAGCTCTACCTTAGCCCAACAATAGTTGTTGGTTTTTTTTTTTTTAACTGAGTAATTATCTAGATGTTACACCAGGGACCGCTTGTTAGAAATATGAAGGTAAAAATAAAATAAAATAAAAAACAAACAAACAAAAACCCTTGTTTCTACAAATAAAAGAGAAACTGATAATAGAACAGGGCAAGGCTTCCTCTTTATGTGTGTTTCCCCAAATCTGGCTATTTAAAAATCCTGTTGCATGGGTCCCACTGAGAAGCATTCAGTCCTGAGCAGTACTGGACAGGGGAATGCAACAGTGGCCTAGCTCATGACGAACGGATGTTATCTCCTCAATACCCTCAGGGAACCTAAGACACTCAGAATCTTTGACTTTCTGGTTCTGTGTTCATTTTGTACTAGAAGGAGAGAGAAATTGGGCCAGAGACATGGGGCATTTTGAGCTCACTCCGAATTAGGCATGACTTCAGTCTGCTCAGGACTTTTTGAGAAGAAATGTCTACCTTAAACTCCTCTGTATGTGCTCCCGGCGACTCACCTCCAGGAGAGGTGTGCTTTACTCTCCTAAGTTCTCAAGGGAGCCTGTTATGTGTCACTTTAAAAGGCCTAGCTAGCGGCAACCACTCAGAACCTGAGGTTCTTAGCATAAGAAGTTTCAGAGGAAGAGAATAAACTTCTTTAATAATCCCAGATGCGGTGTATTCTTTATCACAACATAGTACTTTCAACTTGGATATAGCCTTGGTGAGATGTTTCGTGTGAATTTTTCATTTTCAGAGAAGGAAACTTAGGTGCAGTGTGATCTGTCTCAAATCTCACACAAATAAGAAGTAGAATCAGAGTCTGAATTCATGGTCACCTTTATCACATCATGTTGATTAGTCACCAAGTTAAATGATAGAGGGAAAAAGCCTTTGTTATCCGAAATACCAATCACCTGTGTCCTTGCTGGTGTAAGATGGAGTGCAGGACAGCAACAATCACAACCCCAAGACATTATCCTCCTTTTTTGACACTAGTGTCCTGTTCTGATCATATTATCAGCATGTTCATTGATTTAATAACTTAAAACCTTACAATAATGCTGGATACATTTCATAAATTGTTTGGAAAATTAAATGGAAAAACTTGCAAGATGCAAGACTTCATAATTCTTGTCAAATATTTTCTTTCATTTTTTAAATTTTTTAACTACACACCTTTTTCTTTCATTCTTAAAAAAAAAAAATCCAAAACCTTAGGTGAAGTTCTTTAATCTGACACAATCACAGTATTTACTTTCTAACACTACAATTGCAAAATTCATGTGTATTCCTTTACATTATTCTTACCTGCTAGGGTTGTGCATTTTTAATATATGAAGGGGGAAATGGGATGTGTGGAAGGCCAAAAATTCTGTGTTAAAACTAACAAGTAAGCAGTGACAGGAGGGAATGGCATAATACCAGTAACTGCACGACAGGAGAGGTGTTAGAGGTTATTCAGAAAGGATATTCTGATATTGTAGGAAGATGCTCAAGTGTGCAATATAGGATAAAAGAAATAAAACCAAAATTAGCAAGTCAGATGTATTTCTCTAAAGTTCTATTGCCACATCTTCAATGTCAAAAGCCCTCAAATAAAAAACCTCATGAAGATATTAGCAATTTACTGGAGGATGAAAGGTATGAATATGTGAAAGAAGACCTGAGATTATGGTCCACTGATAGAAGGACATGTGCAGAACATGAATACCTCGACTGCAGGGAAGGTCTCCCATGACCTTGACTGGAGATTAGGAGGAACGATTGTACTTAATTCTTTTTTTATTAGCCACAGTGAAGCTTCATGAAAAGGACGAAGGACTGTGATACTCAGAGAACCTGGTTCAAAGAGAGTCATCAAAAGATTATAAGATTATTTCTGCATCCAAATTATTCTGATAAATTCAACAGATATCAACTAAATCCAACAAACACTTTTTAAAATTTAACTCAGGGGTGCTTAACCACTGAGTCATACCCCTAGTCCCCCCCCCCATTTTTTTTAAAATTTTGAGTCAGGTTCTTACTAAGTTGCTTAGGACCTCGATAAGTTGCTAAGGCTGGCCTTGAATTTGTGATCCTCCTGCTTCAGCCTGAGATTGCAGACATGTACCACTGCACCTGGTACAGTGCAGTGGTACATGTCTACTGAGATTGCAGACATGTACCACTGCACCTGGATCAACACACTTTTGAACCGCCTTCTACACAAAAATTTTAGTGAGGCACTGTGATTATGCTTAAGGACCTAACAATCTAGCAAGACTGAGGAGGCTATTAGTCACCATAACACCTAGAAACTTAACTTAGAGCACCTAGAAGTATTCACTAATGCCTCACTGTGTCTTGATAAACATATCCAATTACTGACAGTTCCACCAACAAACTTCCTTGAGTCAATCCACTTCTGCCCTCTCCACAGACCCTCAGAACCATCCTGTTCTGGACTATAGGAACAACTAGCCTTTCTACCCATGTGCATTCTAAGTGACCCTCTCCTGCAGTCAGCCTGACTGGCTATGTTTATCCATAGTTAAAATAATTCTTTGACTTTCATGGCTCCTGAAATAAAATGGTTATATTTTTTTGTCCCCTGCCTCAACTTGCACCATTCGATCTCTGTGCTCTCGTCACATTGGCCTTTTTGTTCACCCTGTTATACAATGTGTCATGAGTCTTTCTTTGTGTCCTCTTTTCTAAAAAACTTCTCCCTCCTGCCTGAAGTAACCCTACTCATCCACTAGCTCTCCACTCAAGGGTCTTCAGGGAAGATTTCTATACTGCATCAGGTTCCTCCATCAGATGCTGTCATCAAACAACGTTCCTTTCTTTCATCAACTTCAGCCCAATTTATACTGATATGCTATCTGTATTACTGTGTGATCAATGCCCATCTCTTCCATTAAAATATAAGCTCTGTTGGAAACAGGTTCCATAGCTCACCATTGTGTTCCTAGCACTCAGATGGTATGTGGCTCCTGACAGGTTGCCAAGTGATGCTAGTTGAATAAATGAGTAACAGAGTAAATCTGAGACGAATTCTAATTCTCACCCAGTTCCACATAGGTACTGCATCATCAGTTAGAGACCCCTACTCTCCAGAATCACAACAGACAAGGCATATTACATTATGTACACCTGCAACAATATACTAACATATAAATTCCTAGTGAGGATGGCTTATGTAACATCTCACATTGGCATTCTAACTCACACATAAAACATATTCTCTTCTTTTACTCAACTCCACCAAATCAAACCTTCCCAATGAACTCCCAAAATGAACTTATAAGAGATGTTTCATTTTTCTTGGTGTTTCCTTACCAGGATGAAATGAACTCATAAACAGGAGCACAGGCATGTAACTAAACATACATACAGTTTTGCTTACAGAAGAGGAATTTGGACTCAGTTTGCATAGGTCAATGCTCAGATATAGCAAAACAGCAAAAGAAACTCAAAAAGCTACATAAATAGTAGACATGGCCAGGTCGAAAGTGCGGTAGAAAGTGAGCAAAGGGGAAATAATGGAGGGAGAGTGCGAGGAGGAGAGCAGAAGGGGGCTCCAGACACGGCTCTCTACCTGGCTGTTCCTGCACTGGCTCTTGTAGGACCACAGCAGTTGATTCTCCGTAGGCCAAAGACAAGTATTCTTCTATGTCACTGTCACGAAGAAGTTCCATTCCTGACCCATCAGCATAGATAACAAAAAATCTGTTTGAAGAGGTAAAAATGTAATCATGAAATATTCAGTTAAAGACTTCTTCAGTAAGAAATTGAGACTAAAAGCTGTGGAACTCTTAGTATTAGCTTTTTACCTGGGAACATGTTCACCATAGATTTGAAGAAAGTTCTTTTCAAAGTTAATAGATGATAAACTATCATATCCCTCAGTTTCTACATTTAAATCATCTTCCGATTTTTTTTCAGGTAACAAAGTTGACACAGTGCCGTCAGCCATGACCTAAGACACAAAGCATATAAGCAACGAACAGAAAAAAATGACAAGCTCATATTTCTGCTGATCCAATGTGAGAAAGAAGGTGATCTTTTGGTATACTCAGAAAATCAGGTTTATTTATTTATAAGGGATTCTTAACTTAAGTATAGATTTTATTAATAAAAATGAAAACACAACAGCATGGTTCTTATAAACCACACCTAGAATGTGAAAACAATCTGGAATGCATTTAGAGGAAAGTTATTAGATTTGGGAGGGACTAAAAGGAAATCTTATCCTGAGACGACTTGTTCAAAGAATAGAGACTTTGAAAAGGTGTGTGATGGTTGTATTGAAATAGTAAAGAGGCCATTGCATGAGGAAGCTCACATGCTGAGATTCCAGAATGAGGGTACAAGGGAAGATACACAGGGCAGCAGGTCTACTGTCAAAATGGGAAACTGCACTGGTGCTGTTGTTGCTATCTGCAGCTGGCATGCATCTCTCCCTCAAGGAATGTGGTTCAGGCTCACAGACCACTGAAGGGACTGCTCAAGAGGAATGTCAAAGCTTTGAGACATGCTTGCCCTGGGCAAGCCACACACTTCAGCCTGGAAGGGTTTGGCTTTACATTTCCATCTTCTCTTATTATTATTCTTATTATTTTTGTTAATTGAAATTTGTCAATTTGAACTCATGTTGGAAGAGTCTCAGTATTCTAGCAAAGAAAAAATAAACTTAATCAGGGCTTCTCTGCTTATCAAAACAAAGTTAGGGACATGATGATATAAGTCCAAATCTAAAAAATAACTTGAGAGCTCCATGTGGTCTGGCGACCCGGAGAGAGGCCTTCCCCAGCACCCCACAGCTTGGTGACCTGGAGAGAGGCCCACCCCATGTCCACACTCATAATTGAGGTTCTTTATCCACCAACGCATGGTTTCACAGCCCAACATCAGGGTACATATGGTCTTGAGGCTGCAGCCACCTCAAACTGAGATATCACTGCTTCTATCAAGGAACAACAATAAGGACCTGGTAAGATGTCACCAAGTTCCCTATGGGCCTGGATGCACCATTAGGGGTGCTAATGGTTATCCTGTTACTGAGGTAACAGAAAGTCTTGCATGGGGTTGCCTATCTCTTGTTTCTCCCACTAACAGTCAACTTATGATTACTTTTTCACTAGTCATATAATCTAATACCTCTATGTTATCACATCCTACCTCATAAACATTTCAGCCAAACCCCCGTCCCCCTTTCTACCATTAGAATTTATAAACCACTACACAAATATATTGACTATATGGTAAAGACCATTAAACTCTTCATTTTTGATTATAGTGACAAAACTGTAAATGTAAAAATAGAAGCTAACTGATCTATGGCTGCATGTTGGATACATTGAGTGCTATATTATTGATCTCCCCTTTAAAGGTGAGGTATTGGTAACCTGTAGGCACACTATAAGACAATAGGGCAGAAGCTTCAATACCTCGGATCTACACATAGACATCAAGAAAAAAACAAAGGAAGAAAGTGCCCCAAACTAACCAAGATACTACAACAATAGAATCCATAGATAGTGCAATAGATGAAATGTCAGTGAAGGCGTTCAGAATACACATAACTAAAATGACCTGGGAATTAAAAAATGACCCAAGTGAGCAGATATAAGCAAAAATCCATCACTCCAACAAGGAGATAAGAGAACAATTATGGGCAACCATCAATCACACCAACAAAGATATAAGAGAGAAAAATACAGGTTGCAAGAGATTACTTCAAGAAAGAGAAAGAGATTCTGAAAAAAAAAAACCCAGAAATTCTTGAAATGAAAAAAATAATAAACCAAATAAAAAACTCAATAGAAAGCATCACCAACAGATTAGTTCACTTGGAAGAAAGAACCTCAGACAATGAAGACAAAATACACAATGTTTAAAATAAAGTTGATCTCACAGTGAAGATGGTAAGAAACCATAAAAAGAATATCCAAAAATTATTGCATACCATCAAAAGACCAAATTTAACATTTACTGGGATAGTGGAACGTTAAGAGATTCAAACCAAAGTAATGCAAAATCTCTTCAAAGAAATAATATCAGAAAATTTCCCAAGCATGAAGATTGAATTGGAAAAAAATCAAATAAAAGAGGCCTATAGGAAAATAAATGTACAAAATTACAACAGATTTACACCAAGACACATTAAAATGAAAATGCCTAGCATACAGAATAAGAATAAAATTTTAAAGGCCTCAAGAGAGAAAAAATCAGATTACATATAAAGGAAGACCAATTCGGATCTCAGCAGATTTTTCAACCCAGATCCTCAAAGCCAGGAGATCCTGGAACAACATATACTAAGATCTAAAAGATAATGGATGCCAACTAAGAATCTTTATATTCAGCAAAATGAAGCTTCATATTTGATGATGAAATAAAAACCTTCCATGATAAACAAAAGCTAAAAGAATTTACACCAAGAAAGCCTGCACTACAGAATATTCTTAGCAAAATATTCCATGAGGAGTAAATAAAAAACAACAATGAAAATCTGCAAAGAGAAGAACTACAATAAGGGAAAAGCTAACCAAAGGAGAAACCAAGTCAAGTTAAATACCAAAAATAAACAAAAATGACTGGAAATACAAATCATATCTCAATAATAACCCTGAATATTAATGGCTTAAACTCACCAATCAAAAGACATAGGCTGGTAGATTGGATTAAAAAAAAAAGATCCAACAATATGCTTCCTTCAAGAGACTCATCTTATAGCAAAAGACACAGACTGAAGGTGAAATATTGGGATAAAATATACCATTCACATGGGCTGCGTAAACAAGCAGGGGTTTCCATCCTTGTATCAAATAAAGTAGACTTCAAGTTAAAATTAATCATAAGGGATAAAGATGGACATTTCATACAGCTTAAGGGAATCATTCATCAACAAGTCATAACAGTTATAAATATATGTGCCCCAAATAATGGAGCATCTGTATTTATCAATCAAACTCTTCTCAAGTTCAAGAGTCAAACAGACACAATAAATCTGGGTGACTTTAACACACCTCTTTCACCACTGGATAGATCTTCCAAACAAAAGCTAAACAAAGAAACCATAGAACTCAATAGTACAACCAATAACTTAGACTTAACTGACATATATAGAGTATATTATTTATCAACAAGCAAATATATTTTCTTCTCAGCAGCACATGGATCCTTCTCTAAAATAGACCATACATTATGCCACAAAGCAAATCTTAGTATAATACAAAAAAGTAGAGATACTAGCCTGCATTTTTTCAGAGCATATGGAATAACATTAGAAATAAATGATAAAATAAAAGCTACTCCAACACCTGAAGACTACATAATATGCTACTGAATGAACAATTAGTTGTAAAAGACATCAAGGAGGAGATTAAAAATTCTCAGAGGTAAATGAGAACACTAATACAACATATTGAAATCTCTGGGACACTATGAAGGCAGTTATAAGAGGAAATTTCATTGCATGGAGTTCATTCATTCAAAGAAGAAAAAGTCAACAAATAAATGATCTAATATTACATCTCAAAACCCTAGAAAAAGAAGAACAAATCAACCCCAAAGCAGTAGAAGACAGGAAATAATTAAAATCAGAG